AGGTTATGTCTCCATGCATGGGAATGCAGGCATGTAATTAACTTTATCAATTTATTTTCTAGAATATGCGTATTTCATGTGAAAATATAACATTCTAGGTCAGTATGAAACGCAAATTAATTTGCTCCTCTCCACTTGAAGATTAATTACTTTCACAGTTTCATCACCGGTGGACACAAAAGTGCATAATAAACTCTTATTTATCATATATGAATGGTAAGGAGTAATGTTATATATCATCCCTCCAATTCACAATAATTGACACATTTTATTTTATTTTATTATTACTATTAAAGGTTATATATTAATTTTGATTTTTTTTTGGCTGTGTGTTATAAAAAATATTATTATGTATGTAAAATGTTATTAAGAAGATATGATAAAAGTTTCATACTAATATCAAATTTTTCATAATCTTTAGTTGTGTTTAAATATTTATATTTGGGACATTATTCGTGCATGGACAAGTGTGTCAATTTTAACAGTTTCAATTATTATGGAATGAAGGTATTATTGCATACTCTATCTTTTAATTGTAAAATCAATTTGACTTTTAATTTACACTTTTCACCATAACTTCTTTGACTTTTTCTAGTAATTAACTATGCACACATAACATAGCAAAGCCTTTAGTAGCTTCAACATGATAAAGGGTCATCTTATTGACTCGTCATAACAAATTAAATCATCCACAAAAATGGAACAAACTAAAGAAATAAAACAAAGAAAGTGGGGGGGGGGGGGGGGACATAATGAACAAAAATTGAAGGCACAAAAAGTAAAAATCCATAAAGAGGATATAAGTAAAGATTATTGTTAGTTAATTTATCGTAAACTTTTGACTTTTACATTATATACGCACATAGTCTATTTTCACTAAGTTAATTTTAGTGATTTATAACTTTACTCTTTTTTTTTTTTTTTTTTTGGTAGGTAAGTTGATGAAAAATCTCTCACATTTTAACCTGCTTGAGTTAGCAGAATAAACCATTTGGAAGTGGGAAAAAGGGTAAGAGAATCCTACACCAAAGTGACACTAGTGGATTTGATCCCAACACCTTATAGTTATGAGATTTAAACCTTTCTACAAGACCATTGCTTGATATTTCATAACTTTACTTGTTGACAATTAAGAATATTAATAATTCAAGTTATGTATCACAAAATTACAAATGTTGCCAATAAAATAAAGGTTGAGCATTAGGTTATTAGCCTATTAGGTAGTTTAATAAGTTCCAAGAATGCTTGTTAGAAGGATCGTTTGAGCAATACATGAGCTCACAACCTATGTGCAAAAGTAAATACTAAGAAGCCAACTTTTTCAATTTGGTGAAAAGAAGCCAATTAATGACCCAAAAAGGCCATAACATTTGTTAGTTAATAGTTGTGGTTTTTAAGAGACTCGTGGTGGTACCATTATTTCGTGGTTATATTTAGAAGTAGCCTTTACTTAATTTGTGTTATTGATCCATAAACATATGCATTGAATCATAAAGCAACCTTAACCATTTAGGAAAAGTGCCAAATATTGGTGGTATGTTACTACTTTAGTCCTTAAATGTGCCTAAAATTAGATAAAATTTGAACGGTTCTCATCTCTTTGGTGTACAAGAGTTTGGTATGATTTAGTTTTATGCAGTAGAAGACGTAACTTCTTAGTGTATTGGATGATCTTGAATTGTGTGTCCAGTTGTTTACGATTATATATACCATGGAGACCATTGTAGATCATGGAGACGTTTTTAGTGACCATTGTAGATCAACAAGTAACATCTACAAGTCTACAACACTGACCAAGTAATAACCCTTATAATAATGACACAGTAATTATCCCCATGATAGCTGACCACACTCATAAACTAAGGGCCTTCAAATTAATTTCAGCTCAGTTTAGTTCAGCTCCAATCAGTTCATCTCCAATCATCCAGTTCAGTTCAGCTCCTAATTTCCTTCTCTTATAAAATATTTATTTCAGTCCAGTTTAATTCAGTTCAGCTTCAATCAGTTCAATTTAGTTCAATTCAGTTCCAATCAATTTAGTTCAGCTCAGTTCAGTAAATGTGAACAAACCCTAAGAGAGAGAATCCACTTTACAAATCCAAGGAGGTTTCAGGAGACACACATAGCCCCTTAGACTTATAAAGTGGTTAACTTCTTTTCTACTCTTAATATAGGACACTTATATATTTTGTTTGGAAATTGGGAACCTACTTTAATAATTTTATATGCAAAATAAATGTCATTATATTCTAAAATATACTTCTATAAACATTAAATAATCATTGTGGCCTCCTATGTGTTTCCAAAATACTTAAGGGTCGTTTGGTTCGAAGAGGGTAATCGGAATGGAATGAACAAAGGGAAAGAATGGAAATGGAATGAAAATCCCCCAAATTTAGGGTGTTGTTTGTTTTGAATAACAAAGGAAACACAAACACCACCACATTGCATCACTTCCCACAATTTCCGGCCACCACCATCACTCGCCGCGCCTCCTCCACCACTCACCGACCACTGCCGCGCCTTCTCCACTACTCGACGACCGCCGCCGCACCCTCACACATCTCCCCTCCCCCGCAAAAACATCCACAGCCACCGAAAAACCCTAAAAACCCCTCCTTATCCCCGTAAAATCGCCACCCAGCCCTCCCACCACCCTTGAAACCCTAGCCGCGATAAGGAGGGGTTTTTACGGGGATAAGGAGGGGTTTTTAGGGTTTTTCGGTAGCTGTGGATGTTGTCACGGGGGAGGGGAGGGCAGCGAGGGTCGGGGGAGCGGCGGCGGTGGTCGAGGGAGCGGTGGCGGTGGCCAGGGTAGGGGCGGCGGTGGTCTGGTATAGAGGTGGGCTGGTTTTCCGGTGGTGTTGGTAGGTGTGAAGGTGGTGATGTGGTGGTGTGAAGGTGGGTAGGGAATGGGAATGGAAATACCTAAGGGGGTGGGGAATGAACTTAGAAAGATTTGGGGGAATGAGGAGGTAAATGGTCTAACAAACAATAACAAAGGAAATGAGAGCAGTTGATTCTCATTCCCTTTAATAATTAACCCCAACCAAACGGCCCCTTACAGGAATAGGGCCTATACGCCTAAAATTATTCACCAAGTGTTGTCCTTATTTGATCTCATAATCCGAAGTATTACGATTTAATTTTTCAATTTGGTAGCATTATGCTCTAAAATAATACAAGTATGAAAACTTACCTTATTTCATTTGACAAAACAATGGAGTATTATAAATTGTTGCCTATGATCATTATAATGAAGCTGTCATGCATGTGCGTAGAATTGTCATTGGTCATGCTTGCTACTACGTTACATACGAAGCAGTGGCGGATCCAGGATTTTCGAACTGGTGAGTCACCATCAATAACTGATCACTTGTTTCAATCCAAAAATTATATATATGAATATATAAAAACATATATTTCACCAAAATGATTTCAATCCAAAAATAGGACATAAAAATCCATTCTACAATAGTACTTAAAAATTCAATCTTACAAGTCGAAAGTACGTACTCCAAATAAATAACATGTTACAAACAAATAGTACTATAAAATTATTACATTAAATTAACTTTATTGTACAAGAATTATTAAAAAATTATACGGAGTACACAAAAAACAAAAAAAATAAAATAAAATAGTGAGATAACTTAAGAGACCTGTTATTAAATATAACAGGTCTCTTTAATGAAAAAAAGCAGCGCAACAAATATTCATATACAATGTCAGCAGAAAAGAGACCTGTTATCTAAATAACCAGTCTCTTTATTATTTAAAAAAACTGACAGTTTTAGGTAGCAATGGCAGCAATAACAGCAAAGAGACCGCCTATCTATAATAGGAGGTCTCTTTGATTTTTTTTTTTTTTAAAAAAACAATTTTTTTTTGTTGGTGAGTCACGTACTCACGTGACTCACCATGCACCTACATAGTTCCGCCCCTGATACGAAGTATGATGCATTGTAACTTTTTTGACAACCATTTTTTTATTTTTTTTTTAATTTTGAAAAATATCACCTATGGAGTATAACGTTTTAGTAATAACCACTGACAACTTTTGTTTTTATTACATATCAAAAACAATTCTTAAATCATATTCCCTCCATTTTTAAACACTTGCACCACTTTCTTTTTATGGTCGTTTTTAAATACTTGATTCATTTCCTTATTTGAAAAGCTTTTACAATATTTAATTAATTTCTCTCACCTAGTAGATCTAACATAAATTATATTTCATTAATTTCATATTCTCTCTCCTCCAATTCTCTCCACTACTTTAGCTTTATACAATTTTTTATTCTTCTACCCACCCCACTACCTCCATATTTTATTACTTTCTCTAATTTCTCTTATAGGGTGGCCATTAGATGACTAATGACCTCGTCATAAGGAGAGAGAAAGAACTTATATTAAAAAAAATGGAAGAAAGAAAAAAAGGGATGAGAGAAGTTGAAACCAGGTCTTTGTAATGACCAACATAAAAGTTTGGTCATGAATATATTAATTGACAAATGACTACATGCTATTGGAATAAGGAAATGGGTATTTGTATGGTAAAAGTAGGAGAGAGAAAATCATGACTAAAGTTATTTTGGGCAACCATTGGGAGTCTTAAGTCATGATTGGTTATGTGATTTCATAGATGAGTGGAAAGAGAAAGAAATTACTCCGTATATAATAATCTAGGACCAAAAATTTTGGGTCATCCATTGAGCATACTCTTAAAACTCCGTGCATGGAGAAATTGAGCAAGTATTAATAACGAAGGGAGTAAATAATTACCACCTGTTTCCCAACTCCTCTATTGTGATGTCATGTAGGCCCCGTTACCTACCCTCCTCTTCTATTTCCCTTTCTCTTCTTTTGATTCTCACTGTTCTTCCCACTTCTTCTTATCTCTTCTAAAATTTGAAAAGAAATACATGTGATGTCATTACGTGACATCACCATGTATATAAATACATATTTAAATTTTTATTTTTTCATTTTTTAGAATTGCTAGACCCATTTTCTCTCTAGTTTATCTCAAACCACCATTTTCACTCTTCCAAAGCTTAGAACGACATAAACATGGATAATAGAGATAAAATATATTCAAGATGCACTCAAAGAATTTGAAATACAACCTCAAAGAAAAGGTAATTTTACATTTTGTTTCTAAACTTCATACTAATAGAGTAAATTTGTTCAATTACAAAATAGATTGTATTTAGACATTTTATTTAATCATACATTCCAATATTTGGCCAAATCAATTTATTTGAATTTTGCATGTTTATTTGAGATTTTGAACATATTCAGTTTTGGTTAAATTAATTGTAATTTTACGCTACATTTAATTGTTTTGAGCAAAAATTTCAACATCAATGCCTAAATTAACGACAATAAATGATGAAATTGTACAACTATAATTAGGTAATTTAATTTATTATTAACCTTTTTGTTTGATGCCAACAAAATTTGAAACCCTAACTTTTTTGTTGAAGGATGTTCAATTCCTGGATATGATTTGCTAGATGTTCATAATGCGTAACATTGGTTGTTCATTTTCGTTTGGTAGGATGTTCATTCTGCTAAATGTTCACTTTCATGCATTTTAATTTTCATAGTTATATTCTCATATTATTCTCAATAACTAAATGTTCATTTTCATGCTATATGATGTTCATTCTTATAAAATTAAAAATATATGCCGATGAAAGTTCTTCATCATTATCGGTTATATACAAAACTGATGATGATAATGTACTTATTGCCTTGAGATTTCCCGGAATAAAAACAAGCAGCAAAATTTCGAGGCCTATATTAGATCTTAACCTTTTTGGTGAAATCAAAGAGGACATGACCCACTTAATTAACAACAAGTAAGTTACAATTCCATAATCACTAAATGTTCATTCTTAGTTGATTAAATGTTCATTTGTAAAATAAGAGATATAATTTCCTTGTTAGTTAGATTTGGTTGATTTGCATTTTTGTTCATTTAGTAAATGAATAATATTCAATTTTTTAAAAACATCTGAAAATATATCAGTATAACCACCAAGTTAATATTGCAACAACGTGACTTTTACACTATTCATCACTCTTATTTGACCATATAATATGATTTATAGTTAAGCAAAATAAAGTCATGTCGGATATTGTTAGATTCATCTCATGCAATATAATACTTTCACAATCAGGGGCGAAGCCAGGAATTAAATCTATAGGGGCCGAGACTTATATTAACTAAGATAATATTATATATGTTTTCAGTTCCAAACTTTTTTCTGTTTCATTATTATAAATTAGCTTCGACTATATTTTTATGATAACTTTTTTTTTTATAACTAATATATAACAAAACAAATATTGTTAGCTAATAGGTTATACGTACTATGAATAAATTCAATGTATGGTTTCAAATAAACCATTTTGTTATCAAAGATTATTAAATCTATTAGCTAATAATAGATTTAAATTTACGCTACACAATTAAGTCAATTTAGAATATGAATGATTGGAATAACAAATAAACCAAACTAATAAATAGGAACTTTGCAAAATTAACAAAAAGAAAGGTTGAATGGATAAAAAAAACAAACAAATAAGATTCCATCTTGGGACCTTCTTTACTAATGGGCCATGTCATGACCATTCCTACCACTGAGATATAGATTACAAGCCATCATTTTTATGCAAATTCATTGTTTATAATAATTGTTTAAGGGGGCCAGCTTTTAACATTAAAGAAACTTGCAGTTGGGCCACGGGGGCCAGGCCTCTACCAGCCCCTCACCCCCCGCGTGGCTTCGCCCTTGTTCACAATATCAACTTTTTATAAATTTTACTCATACAATTATACATATTTAACATATAAAATGTACTTTAGGATACATAATTTCATCCTTGTTGCAATATTATTGGAACGGAGGAAGTAACTATTAGCATTCTCTATACAATAAATGTTCGTTCTCATATGATTTAATATTCATTTGCCAAAAAAAAAAGCTATATAATTTTTTTGCTGATTAGATTTTGTGGGTTTGCATTTTTCTTCATTAAGTAAATCAGTGACGTTCATTTAGAATACTCCTGTAGTCCTGCTCCATAATATGTGTGAATATTTTAAGGTACAACAGCCTACACCTTGCTTGGTACAGATAAAAAATGCTGAAAGAACATATAGTTGTTTTGTAAAAAACGTATAGATATTTTGTAAAGAACATTTAATTTTATGTTTATTTTATATCTAAAAAACATCTGTAATATTAGTAAATAACATGATTATATATGTAATGTACATTATTTATATGTACCCACCATAATTTAAAGACAAAAAGAATATTACACAATAAACAATGAACATTATATTACAAATAAAAGTACATTACACTCACAATAAAAGAACATAGACATATGGTTTTTTCACTCATTTTTGGTGCAAGCATGTTCTTTTTACTTTAGGTATATGTTTATTATTTTTTAATAGTATGTTATTTTTACTACAACTGTATATTCTTTACATTTGTAGTATATTATGTTCTTTCCGTAAAACGTCTGTACGTTGCAAGGTATAAAAGCCTGTAGGAACCACACACTCTAATAAGTGTAAACACTTTTAAAATGGGAAATAAATAAATAATCAAGTGTTCATAATTCATCATGACATTGAACGCTCACTTTTATTGGATAAGATGTTCATTCTCACAAAATCAAATGTTCACTTAGTTTTCATTTACCTCACCAAAATAATAGGTTTAATTTTTTTTTTCTTCATATTCATGTTACAGGATGTTATTCTCAGTATTTAATTGTTCATCTTAATGTCATAGGATGTTAGTTCTTATAAAATTAAAGGTTCATTTTCATTTTCAATTAATATTGACTTTTGTGTTTGTTAATTTGTCATGAATATTCATTTTTATGTTAAATGATGTCCAGTTAAAATTCTGCAATAAATTGACAGTTTGAAGCTGAAAATAAATATTGGAAAAACACCATTAGAAAAAGTTCAGGAAACATAAAGGAATATCAGATTATGTTAATATGATCTTTTTTAATTTTTTATTTTATTTTACAGAATATGATCTTTACCTTAATAATTACAAAACATATATATATATACATATATATATATATATATATATATATATATATATATATATATATATATATATATATATATATATATATATATATATATATATATATATATATATATATATATATATAGTTCATACTTATTATGTGTAATGTTCATTAATAATATACTTCCTCTGTTATTTTATTATTGCACCACTTGCCTTTTTAGGAAGTTTCACAAATATTGCACCATTTCCTCTTTAGGAAAAAAAATTTCTGTGTTCACACTACAAATACCTAACATACCCTTGCTTTTTCACATTTACTTTTTAATTTATCAATATGTCACATGGGCAATTTTATATTTTTACCTTTCTCTCTCTTACTTTTTTTCACTACCAAAATATTTGTACCCAACCCCTATGGTGCAATAATAAAAAAAAACGGAGGAAGTATAATTTTACAGAGCTTTTTTGGTGCAGTAGGCCACACCGTGTGGCCTGCTACCAAGTCAGTATAAATAACGGATACAGACGCTCGCATAACGGGGTTACTGGTTTTGTCAGGATTACTTGTATTTTTCGGGGGTTACTGGTTTTGTCAAGGTTACTTGTATTTTTCAGGGGTTACTGGTTTTGTCAGAGTTACTTGTATTTTTAGGAGTTACTTGTATTTTTTTCAGGGGTTACTTGTACGGATTACTTATTCAGGAGTTACTTGCATTTTCAGGGGTTACTTGTATTTTTTTTTTCAGGAGTTACTTGAATTTTTTTTAGGGGTACTTGTATTTTTTTTTCAAAGGTTACTTGTATGGGTTAATTCAAGGGTTACTTGTATGAGTTCTTTATTCAAGGGTTATTTGTATGAGTTACTTATTCAGGGGTTATTTATATGAGTTACTTCAAAGGTTACTTGTATGAATTACTTATTCAAGGATTACTTGTTACTTATTCAAGGGTTGCTTGTAGGCCCCATACCAAACCAGGCCATTAACACCCTACAAGAAACCCTTGACCAAAACCAGTAATACCCTACAAGTAACCCATAACCAAACCAGTAACACTCTACAAGTAACCTTGACCAATACTAGTAACATCCTACAAGGCTACAAGTAACCCCTGACCAAACCAGTCAGTAACACCTTCACCAAACCAGTAACATCCTACATGTAACCCCTGACCAAACCAGTCTCACCCTACAAGTAACCCCTGACCAAACTAGTAACATCCTGCAATTTTTGACGAAGAATGTTCGACCTAAGATTTCATGAAGAAAACGAGCTCACATTTCTTTGGTTCTCATCAATTTCACTACTTCTAATGTTGTTGATGATCTTAAGGATAATAATCACAAATTTTCACAGCAATTTGACACCCAATTTCTACAATTTCGGGCTTTAATTGCAGCAATTTGGCAAAGAGGAGAGAGAAAATGGGTGGAGTAGAGATATGGTTGTTGGTGATGTGTGGTTTGACTCAAAGAAGAAGCTAAGAAAAGAGGAGAGAAAAAATGGGTGAAGTAGAGATATGGTTATTAGTGATGTGTGGTTTGGCTTGGAGAAGAAGCTAAGAAAAGAGGAGAGAGAAGAGATGTGGTATTTTAAAAAATAAAAATTGTGGCTGGCCACGCCACATATAAAAATTTGTGATAATTTTAATAGGTATAATGCAAAGACCTAGAATATCAAGTGCAAAAGGTAGCATCAAAAGAGAAAAGAATTCCATTCAAGAAAAAACAGTCCAAGAGAGGGCAAAAAGTTGCAATGTTAATACCAATTTATGTAATAATTATCTCTCTCTCTCTTTTTTTTTTTTCTTTTTTTTTTTTCATGTTATTCATTGTTGTTATATAATGAAATGTTCGCTTAAGATTCGGATTTTGTTTTCCAATTTCAATGTTGCTTTCAAAACATGTTCCATCACAAAATGATCATTTTGTTTACATTTAATGTTCGTTTATTAAAATGAGGAACCAACCAAAGTTAGCTGGTCGCGAGACTAGCAAAAAGTTTGCGTTTATTATTTGCATTTTATTGTCAAGTTATGTAGGAAATTCATGAGTTGGAAAGTAATGCGGAGGGGGGTTTTGTTGGTGTCTCGTTGCACTTGGAGGGTAGAAAGGAACTCGAGGGTTAGTCTCTTGTAGGTCGGTGCATGCAACCCTAACCAAAACCCTAGGCCGGAGCCCTCAAACAACATCCTCACATCGTCACCTACACCTAATTCGTTGGCCACATCATCATTGTAAAATTTAGTCGGTCTAATTCTCCTTCTACTATTTCTAATAAAAATGTTCAAAAAGGTCGGGTCATTAAAGATTATTCCTATTGTATCCACTTGTGGTGGATCAACGGGGGGAGGAGGAGAAGGGTTGCAGTACCTAGAATCGGTGTTTCTAGGTCGGTTTCTTCTAGACATACTCGGTCTTTATGCAATGCAATCAAACAAACAAGACAAGATAATCGCCACACAACCACACAAAGAAACCAGATCTACTAAGTTGACAAATCAAAGCTCAAACAAGGCCAAACAACACAACTCAATCAAGCCAAGCTAGTGCACCAATGCAATTCACAATAATTTCAAACTCTAAGTCCATGATATGTCCATTTTATATAGTGTTTTATCCCCATCCCTTGGTCGTTATTAATAGTGTTTTTGTCTCTTTCGAGCCACTTTTATTACTAATTTGTGTGCTATATTGTTTTCGTAGTTTTAGTTGTATTTTACAGGAAATTGCACTCTTGGAGCGACTACGGAAATTAGAGGAGCACGACCATCTTTGAAGCCCATGGCCGGTTAGAGTCATCAAGCCGGTGATTAAGGGCTCGGTAATCGGGATACCGAGGTATATGGACCGAGTGATCAAGACCCTAAGTGGATATCCAGATTGGGCCGAAGAAATAAGCCCAATCGAAGTTCCAAGCCTTGAGGTGAAGCAAGGGCCCGATCGGGCAAGCTTAGCTCGATCGGGCAAGGCGCGCAAGAGTATGCTGGTGCGTGGCCTAAGGCGCGCCCGATCGGGTGAGCTGCTAGCTCGATCGGGCGCGGCTGTTGAGAAGAGCAATGCGAGAAAAAGGCACGCCCGATCGGGCGGCCTCTAGCCCGATCGGGCGCGTGTTTCTGGAAGAGCTCTTTTGTCGAGCAATTAGTTTCTAATTAGGAAGTTGTTTAGAGTTTTGTTTAAGTACGTTTTAGGACGATTAATTTCACTTAACTTCTTCCTTAGACTTTCTCTCTCTACTTAGGATCTTTTCTCTCTTTTAAATCTTCTCTCAACTCTTGTTCTTGATTATTTTCCATTAATACAGATTAGTTTGGTAACGATTTCTCTTCTCTTAATCTTAGTTATTTACTTTATTCCTTTTATCATGTCTTGCTTTATTGCTTTGATTAGTTTAATTTCTACTATGTGTGAGTATTTTACATTCTAGGGTTTGTGGGGATCCATAAATAATATGAAAGGGTAATTTATTGTTGTTAATTATCAATACTAGATTAATTTCCTATTGATTGAATTAATGCTCTGTGACTAGATTAGGCCTGATCTTTTATGCATGAGTTTGACAATATTGATTCGAGATTTGACATATGAGAATTAATGTTTAGGTCTAGTTTCAATAGGCAGGTTAATTTATAAATGGTTAATTCGAGATTCGAAAGATGAGATTTAATACGGGTAAATTAATTGTGTGATTATAATACGTAGCGAAAGCCCTTTTTAATCTGATTGATGTATGCATTGATGAATGGTTATTATATTCTACCCTGGAATATTATTTATTGGTGAACCTATGCCCTAGATCCTTTTATATATTGTTTTCTCCCTATTCTCAATCTTAGTAGTTTAGTTTCTTATTCAAATATAAATATTGGTTACTTCATAATCTAGATTATTCTAATTAATTAGGAGTAAAAAGACTTGTTTCCCTGTGGAGATCGACCCTACTTCCCTATCTACTTTAGTTAGAGGAGTTAGGAATTATTTTTGATTAGGGGATACGACTTTACCCTGTCAAAATTTGGCGCCGTTGCTGGGGAAACGGTTTTATTTTTATTTCTGATTGCTTTTGTAGTCTAGATTATTTCCCTTTTGTCTCAGAGAGCATTAGTTCTCTGAGGCAAATCTCATATTTTCTTCTAGTTTTTGTTTATGCCCAGGTGTTCTAGATCAGGTTACATCCCATTCGATCCTGAGATCGAACGTTCCTTCCATAGACAGAAAAATCTCTACAAGCAAATACTGGCGGATTCTGGTGATAATAACAATAATCACCGAGATCCTCCAACTAGTTCTAGCGATTCAGAGATATCATCAGACGCAGAATCAGAGATGACGGCTGCAAAGAAGCTTAGTGATTATTCACAACCAAAGCTTACGGATTTTCCACATCTCACCCCTACTCCGGCTCTTGATGGGGTTCAATTTGAAATTAAACCTCAATTTATAACGATGATAGAGAGGAAGCAATTCAGTGGAGCTAAGGTTGAAGACCCGAATCTTCACATTGCCTACTATTGTCAATATTGTAACACCATCAGGCAAGCCGGGGTTACTCAAGACCAAATCAGGGAGATTCTCTTTCCCTTCTCTTTAACTGGAAAAGCTAAATTGTGGTTTAATGTCTTAAATAGAACTACACTTGGTATAACTGACTGGAAAACTCTTGTTTTGAATTTCTATAACAAGTATTATCCCGCAGAGAGAACAGCCGTACTACGGAGTGCAATCCAGAACTTTGCCCAAGAAGCCGATGAATCTTTATATGAGGCTTGGGAGAGGTTCAAGGATTTACAAAGAGATTGCCCTCACCATAATTTAGCGCAATGGAAGTTAATCCAAGCCTTTTATAATGGCCTTGGAAATTCTTCTCGAATAATTTTAGATTCTGCAGCTAGTGGGAGATTTATGAATCTTGATGTTGAAGATGCAGGTCAGGTTATTGAAGACATGGCGATACACAATTCCCAATATGGGAATCATAGAGGATTTGCGAACAAAGGGAAACATAGTGTTGACTTTGTATCCTTTTTACAAGCTCAGCTGACCTCTATTTGCCAAAAATTAGATAATTTGAGCACTGCTAATGTAGCTAATGTTTCTGCGATTAATAATTATTCTAATGAGGCTTTCTGTGAAAATTGTGGTATTGTAGGTCATTGGGAGCAAGATTGCAGGAGTTCCGTGGAGCAAGTTAATGCCTTCCAAGCTTATAGGCAGAATAACCCATACTCCAACACCTACAATCCTGGGTATCAAAATCATCCGTACCTTTCCTACCGGAGCACTAATGTTCAAAATCCACCACCACAAGAACCACAGACGCCACAACAACAGCAGCAGAAGTATTATCATCCCAATGCTAGCCAGAAGAACCAACCACAACAACCCTCCTCATCTTCTGACCCTTCTCTGGTGGAAATTAGAGCAATGTTGGCTAATATGCAAAAGCACATGGAGAGTAGAGATGCGACAATTGATCAAATTCTAGCGCATAATAAAATTGTAGATAATCAAATTGCGCAACTCTCTGCTACCCTACAAGCCTGCCAACAGGGAGCTCTGCCGGCACAGCCGACTAGGCCTACGGTTCAAGCATTTGCAATTACTCTAAGGAGTGGTTCAAACTATGAAGGGCCCCCTATGCCCAGAGTTGATGAACCTGTCTTATTAAATAATGCTAATCTTGATTCCGTTAAACCAAACAATGTAGTTGATAGCCCTGCAGGGCTAAAGGATAGTACTAACACATCTAATTCTACATTGCAGGGCACGACTCCAGAGAAGGTGGCTACTCTAGATAAGGGCATTAATGCCCCAAAGCCAATTATCAAGCTTCCATTCCCCAATCGTCAATTGAAGACAAACTTGGACAAGCAGTTTGGTAAGTTCCTGAGGTGGTAAAAGATTTGAAGGTAACAGTTCCCTTTACTGAATTAATCACACAAATCCCCTCGTATGCAAAAATTATGAAGGAAATATTGACGAGGAAAAGGTCTATTAGTGAGGTAGAGACAGTAGCTTTCACTGCAGAGTGTAGTGCTATACTTCAAAATAAGTCTTCACCTAAATTAAAAGATCCGGGTAGTTTTTCTATCCCTTGTCATATTGGCAATCTCTTGATCGATAATGCATTATGCGATTTGGGTGCTAGTGTTAGCGTCATGCCATTATCTGTGTGTTCTAAGTTGAATATGGGTAAATTAAAAGCTACCAATATAACTCTACAAATGGCCGACCGTTCTTTCAAATACCCCTTAGGTGTTTTAGAGGATGTCCCCGTTAGAGTAGGTAAATTTTAAATACCTGTAGATTTTGTTCTTGATATGGCTGAGGATATGCAAACCCCAATTATTTTGGGTAGACCATTCCTTAACACTGCAGGAGCAGTCATAGATGTAAGAAGTAGTAAGCTAACATTATCAGTAGGGGATGATAAAGTTGTTTTTAATATGAATAATGCCCCTAAAAGCTCCATGACTGAGGAGAAATGTTTCAGTGTTAATGGGGTTGAAAATTATTCTAACAAGCCCCAAGCTCTTGAAAAAGATCCCTTGGAGGCGGTATCTTGTGCTGCATCCTT